TTTCCTAATTTTATTATTGCCTCATTTTTATAATATTTTCTCTTCTGCTAGAAATTCACATTAAGGTTCCAGGGACAGCTATTCCTTTGCATTCCATTCCAAAAGATGGCTCAACTAGTATTTAAGTACAGACGTCCCCAAACTATTATCTGGAATAGATTGTGATGAAAAATAAGGTATGTCAAATCATATAATTTCTGGTAGAAGCAAATTTGTAATGGATATTTTATTTCTTAACAAGGGCCTAGCATCCAAAGTTATTTTTATCAAAATAATCATAAACATTATACTTAATCAATGACAAATGACACCTCTTTACAGAAGACTTCACAAAGTATATATAAATTAATTTAAAAGAATTTATAGAAAGCAAACATAGAACACATCATTTAATATATTTTGAAGATTCGTAAGGATAAGGATTTTAAAAGATGGGATAATTCTGGGTGGACCTAGAAAAAAGATAACAAATGTAGCACATACAGACAGAGTAGGTCAAAAGTAAAAAAAAGTGTGTGTGTGTGTGTGTGTGTGTGTGTGTGTGTGTGGTGTTAGGGTTTGTGCAGAGAAGGTATAAGGGGGCCTCTGCAGGTCCTGGGAGTTCTGTCATCTGCCGTAAAGATGATACTGGCATTTATGCTCATTTATTGTCAAGGAGTAGATGGATTCGTTGTTGTAATTTATACACTGCCTGCTATTACCAAAGTAATATAGAGTGCCTTATAACTAGAAGAAATGTCTATTGTCTATTTTAGGTCTTCACAAAAATTTAGAGCTTCCTTTCCCCCACTGAACCCACTGATACATATATATATATATAAGAATAAGCACTGTTCTTTGAATTATGCGATATGTAAATCTGAATTTGATTAGTCACATGATTTCATAATCACCTACACCATGCTAATTTTTGATTTATATATAATATTAAGATGCTACTGCCATTTTATTCTTCATTTTCCCTGCCTTTCAGCCCATCTGTCAAATAGTTAACAATACTGAAACACCATAGAAACCCTCTTACATTGTTTTCTTTGAAAGAAAATCTGTAGTGACTTTTGAAAAAAAAAAAATTGTCATTATCTCCATCTTCTTTTCCTGAACTTCGGCTTTTAAATTTCAGATTTCCAAAAAATAAGCAAGTCTTATGAGGCTGTGGATCACTTGAGTGAATTAAGGTAGCAATCAGATACCAATATGAACACCACGGCAGGGTCAGGGTTGACTTTGCTCCACTCAATGCATGATTCTCTGTCTACAAAAAGGGCTGATTTTATGCTCTCTTTAAGTCTAAAATCATCCGAAAAGTAGAGAACAGATGGAGAAAGTGAATTGTATCAACAACTAAAACTAGCTCCAAATAACTATTAAAAAATTTAAATTTATTCATTCTTCTTAAAATTGGAATATGGAATATAGGGTAGTGGGCATAGAAGATGAGGTAAAATAAAAACTTATTAAACAGAATTATTAGAAGGAAATTGTAATATTTCTCTTACAAATGTACTTTTCCTCTCCTTTAAATGTTTACAAGATATTAAAATCTTAAACTTGGAAAATTGTATGAAAGTCATGAGTAAAATGTGGTTTTCATACTAGGTAATTTTAACTGATTTCTCATTTATCTAGGCTTCAGTTAATTTAAATAATTGTCTACTGAAGTGTATAAGAAACTTGATATGTAAGCTATTTTATTGTAAAAAAAGGTCATTTCCCAATTTCAACTGAAAATGGAAGATTTTTGAAGTTCACATGAAATAAAATGTAAGCCCGATGTTATTATCTAAACGCATTGTGACAAACGGACAAACGCCAAAAAGAATTAAGCCAAAATGCTACAGAGTGATAAAGGTCCCCAAAATAATAATCCTGATTACAATATGATGAATCAGTAGGAATACAAAACATATACACTTTTTTTTTAGTTTGACTATCACTTTAGCATAAATAAGTTTGAATTTCCAATGAAGAACTGGGTGACAATGTAAGAGTAATAAAATTTATAACAATCATTCATGACCTACAAGTCCTGTGAATTGTCTCATAAAGCCTCTCTATTGCCATAGTTAGGGATGACATAGTTAGTGATAACCTTCAGGAAAGGTTAGGAACATCTGAAAAATCTGAGGAGACACTTAAATGTTATGCAAGGGCCCATTTATTTAGAGGCCATGTGGCATTTCTCAACTCCCACTGCATCTAAATGGGAGACAAGATGGAGCCCCGGAAGTAGTCCTGGCCCAGGAGCCTGGAACTGGGCAAAACTATTCCTGATTGTTTCTTTGCCTTTGAATAAATGACAGCATTCATGGGTTTGGGTTTCCTCCTGAATAGAATATAAGGTGGGACCTTTATTCTACATGATGGCTTCCAGAGCTAGCTGGCATCCTGCCCATCTAGAAAATGTGCCCAACATCTCAGGATACTTCCATGAGACTCTGTAAACTAGCTGCTGCCTCAACAAGTTGTAATAATTATAGAAATGATACAACAAAGATTCACATTCTTGAGCAAGAAAGTAAGGATTTGTGGTAGTTTCAGGGAGAAAAAGGCGGGTTCATTCTGCAAATACATTCATAGAGAATGCACGCATGCGGCTGTGGCTCTCTTCTGACATACTTAGCCCCCAGCCAGGGTCACGGATAACATACCTTCATTTCAAAACTCAAATGAAGTTGACCGTACAAAAATGATCCTCATGTTACCAAAGAGACATTTTACCATGGGGTTTTTGTTACACATCCTTTCATGTTCAATAATTTTCACTAAACCCAAGGAAGCATACTTATTGGTTATGTGTTGTCTTTCTGTGGTCATTTCAAAACATGGCCCAACTGCTGTCTTCTTTTGATTGCATGGTAGGTACCAGATGAAGCTGGTCAAGAAGGCCAAGTCTGTGATATGGAACTGAAGTTAGAATGTTAAGAAAGTAGAGTCTTAGTGCTACTTTGGACATTTCATTGGAGTCTTTATAATTTTATCTAAATTGCTGCCCTCCTGAGTAGGTCCCGTCCTTTTTCTCTGCCCCCTCCATGGGATATTGTTCTCCATACATTTCATAGGCTAGAAATTCATCTGTGTGGCACATCACCTAGTATTATAGTAATGGAAATATAGTGGCCAATTTTTATCTATTTGGAGAAGGCCAAGGTTGAGGAATTGTAAAGTATGGTTAATGACTGATAAAGTAATTTGAAATTGCAAGATACTGATCGACATGATATGTTAATAGAATTGGAGAAAAGTGTATCATTTTCACTTTGAGCAGTTTTTAGTATAATATTTCTTATAAGACATAACGTGTTAAAGGCCTAAAGCTCAGCCCCACTGAATGTATATTGCCCATTTATTGTGCTGTGTTATAATCATCAAAACTGGACTATGAATTTTTTTATAAGAATATAATTTGCTTAGCTTGTTTTCATTGTAGCATTAATGGTTGATTTGAGTAAGTGGCTCAAATAATCCCCTAAAGGGATTAGGGTACTCATGCTTTTTTACAAAGTTTTCTGAGATATTGGCCAAAGAACGAGGGGCAGACATCAGTTTTTATGATAAGTTTTTAATATCTACTCTAAAGATACCACATGCAATAAATAAATTGACTGTAGAAACTATTAACTGTGTAATGTTATTTATCAGTCCCCTGTTTCTATATTGTACAGAAAATATTAGTGGTAGACCATTTTATAGGTGATAAATGATTTTCAAACATAATTGCCCAATGAAGACAGAAAAATTGTACAAGATACTAGGACTAGTACTCCAGTTACTACTTGGTGAAAAAAAGTGAGGTTTACTTTTAATAAATAGGTTTCACTTTATTTCGCATGTTCCATCAAACAGCATCCTCCCTAGTATATAAGTAAATATATATTTCTTATTTCATTAAGTTCATATTGTGGCAGTGGCCAGAACCTATTGATTCATAAATATCTGCAATCTGCATAAATAAATTAGTTCTGAGTGCCTATTACTCATTCAATGAATAAGTGAAAGATGTGTTTTCTTTTCCCCCCACCAGTATGGTAAACTATTGGGTCAAGGTTATTTTATACTTTTCCACACTTCAAAGATAATGTCAGGTGTTGGTCATGGGTGCAACGATTAATATTTTCAGAAGAAAACTTGAGGATGTAAGAAATAACCTCTCCCCCCCCCCCCCCACCATGTCATCTTTCCGTGAACTGTGTACACCCTCCAGGCTTTCTCTGCTCTCAGAAGAGCCTCCATTACTCGGGTCAGGGCCCTTCACCATTGCTCTCTTCCAACCCAATACTGAAACAGCGACCATCTTCACTCACCTGCCTAAATCTGGTTGGAACCCCAACTGAGTCACTTTCAGAAGGAGCCAAAGGATGTCTTTGGTTCATAGCAACCCCAATGGCAGGAATGATATAATACAATTTCTGAGGGAGAAAAATGACTTGCAGAGTGTAAAGGCATCTTCAGTCAAAACCTATGAGCTCAAGTGAGTTGAATACATGTCTATGTCCATTCTAATTGCTCCAATGAAATTGGTTTTATGAAGTTCCAGGAGAATAGTATGGTAACTTTTCTTTCATCTTTGGTTTTCGTAGAAGATTTATATGCTCATCATTTTTATTACAATGCACACTGCCTTATGTCAAGTATATTAGGCTAATATAAATTCTCCTATCTGTTCGGTTAGCAATTTTAACTCAGCTACAATTATAAGTATAGATGGAGGAATATGCTAGAATAAATCTCCAAAAATGTACCATGGGAGACTTTATAGCATTATCCTCATTGGGATGAGACTGGGTTAAAGAACTGGGAAGGAAATTTCTCTCACATACTCTTTTAATGACATTATTTTCAGAATGAACTGGCCCAAGGTTAGCCTGATCTTTGGTATCTCCTCAGTTATGCTCACTGGTAATGATCACAAGCAAATGATGTTCTGGAAGCAATTTCATGCAGGTATTGTGTCTTCTACCAGACACAAGAGCAGACTCATCTAATTAGCAGAACCCCCCCCCCCCGCCCCGGATTCTCTCTCTGTGCTTCTCGCACATTAATGAAGCTGAGACATGAACCAGGACCCCCGAGGGGCTATCCCCCCGAGTCCCATGTAGAAACTGTGGTCTCTAAGCAACAGCTCGACTGAGTGAGCGGGTGAGAGCCTTGCTCTGAATGTGGCACCCCTAGGAGCTGTGCTCAAATGGTCTCAGCGGGGAGTTGCTCTGGTGTGGTTTACAACGGATTTCAGAAGCAAATGCCAATGTGCTAAGTGATTCAGAGGTGTGTGACCCTGCAAGCTGGGATTTTAGGGAGGGCTGTATCATCATCAGGAACCAGGCGTCTGCTTTTCTGCTGTGTCAGCAAAATTCACAGCGCAGAGAGTTTGAATAATTTTCTTTTTATCCCTGAAAGCTTAAGATAATTATTTTTCACAGCCACATTAACTCTTATGATTAGCATCTTGATGGGGTTTTCATACTTATCTGAGAGATTCAGAGAGTCTAGGTTGTTGTTATAAGTGTAAATTTATCTAGGAGGGACCCAGAACCATTTCTACTCAGTAGTAATTCTATGAAATGAATTTGGAATCTGCATTCAAGCTACGGATAGAGATAAAAAAAAAAGAGTCTTATTACAGATCAGCAAAACAGATACCCCTTCAACAGACTAACTTTAATAGTTTAAAGAATTTTGCTATTAAGAAAAAAATTCAGGCTTTTATCTTACATGATCTGGGCTCATTGTTCTTTAGATTCCCCTTGGAGTATTTATAAGCTGACCATCTTAGGCATGTGGCATCAGATAATTCAGGCAGAATGATTTTTATTTTTACTTGAGTAAACTTCAAAATTAAGGACAAAAATATCTTTGTTGACCTTAATTAAATCAGCCAAATTTTTTAGATCACGTGGAACCCAACCACTCACTTCCCTCTAAACTTGGTAGTTTTGTCATGAATGTCAGAGATGAAAAAAAATTATATTTGATCTGTTTTCTCTTATAATCCCAGCCAACCCATGTCCATTAAAAAGAAAGTAAGCTTAGCAAATTCTGGTTACACACTAAATCACAAGCACCCAATGGCTTTTGAGAATGGCAGCTATAAAATCTTAAATAATTAATATCTACAATCCTGTGCCATTGTTCTCCCGACTGTAAAATAGCTAGTTCTTTTTAGGTATATACATATACTTTTTATCTCTTTCTTGAAATACAGTTTCTCATTTAAAGTCTTTCTTTTATTTGAGGGTAAATGGAAGCAGTGGGTGATGAAACCCGATCTTCCTCACGTAGCTCAGAGGGATGGTCAAAGAGAGAAACACTGTCAAGAAGGGAGTACTGACCAGAAAGACAGTGTGGTGACATGACACGTAGGACAGACAGCTAGACCGGTTCTCTTGCCTTTGTTTTCGAGTGTGTCCCTCCTTCTCACATATTCATTTATACTTGTCAGAGGAGCAGACTTGACTACGTAAATACTTTTGCTAATAAGAAGCCTTTTTTTTTTACAGCACTATTTTAAAAATAGCTATTCAACATAACAATCTTAATGTTAATGCACCAAATTACAGTATTCAACAATGTAAGTGAGCATATCCTGTCACCCTCAGCACACATTTGATATATACTTGTTAGATATAGATGGATACAGCAATATCCGTATCTCTATTTGTCTACAGATGCACACACACACACACACACACACAGCAGAGCTACAAGGCCCTGCTCAACAGTGTGTTCTAGATCTCGGGTTCCCTTAATTGTCACTGGGGCTTATTTATATGGAGAGTTATGATGCCATTTGTAGACCTTGCTGGATTTGTCCCCGTCAAAACTTTCCACGCCACATAGGTTGTGGTGGGTGACCTTATGTCTAAGGACAGACCCTGTCATCAGGCCGGAGGGCTGAGCCACGAGGACAGGGGTCAGGCCCACCACCCAGGCACAACCCAGTGTGGGCAACTTTTCATGGTGCCCAGAACCAAAGGATTTCATTTAAATGACTGTTCATACGATTTGGATTCTATTTTTGTAAAACATAGATTCCCCCCCCACCCCCAAGAAACTCAATAAATAAAGGACTTAGCCACAGAGTCAAGGAAGCAGAACTCCAGTTTTTAACCTGTCACTGGGATCGGGGCTAGACCCGCCCCATTTCAATTTTGCCTGCAACTGGTCTTCCAGGAGGCTGAGGGAGCAGCAACCCCACTAGCAGGTCCAGACAGACTGTCTCTCTGGTTGGCAGTGGCTCTCTGACTGTCATTGAATGAGGCTGGAGCTGTAGCTGAATCCGTAACTGCTCGACCGGGACAGAGACGGCTGAGTCTCTTCGCTCTGCTCCGAGGCGTAGCTGGGAAATGTCTGTGCACGTGACATCTTTGAGGAACTAAACCCATGACCTGGGAGAAGGGAAGGAAGAAAAGGTGTACTAAGAAATAGATTCAGAAAGGCAAAGGGATATATTGAAAACAAAAACAAAAACAAAAAACCCACAAAAACCAAGCAAACAAGGCAGATGCCCACAAATCCTCAAAAGAGAGCTCCAGGTAAGTACCTAAGTGTGAAAAATGGAGAAATTTGGTGCATTATTTCTCTTTGAGTTAAAAATGAATTCAGGGCTCAATATTTTCCTCAAGCGTGTCTTGTCAAAAATTCGGATGCCAGGCAGCTAGGTAAATTTTCTAGAGATCTCAACCTTCTAGTAGCCTCCAGCTATTGGAATAGAAGCAGAAAAGATTTTCTGAAAAAAAGCTGTTTTTGATGGAGAGCCTGTGAGCTGCATTCTTTTCTTTTATACTCACTTTCAGCATACAAAAGCAAATTATAAACTTTCTTAAAACCTTTTTTGAGCGGGCAAATTACACTGCACCCGAACCAGTAACCATCAATTGGCAGGAAAAGCTTTCACAATTGTAGACTTCAAGGCCCTGACTTACCCTGTCGGTTTTGTGAGTAACTGAACCCACTTCGTGATATGATTAACCTAAACAGTGAATCTTTATGGTTAATAAAATGGCCGGAAAGTTTACTCTTCTAGAAAGTAGATTTAAGGAAAATTCTATCTATGCTTTTGGGAGTTCGGACACATCCCTGAAATGAAATATTTGTCTAATGCAAACAGAAACAGAAGTGACCACCGAGAAGCTTGTCAGAGTGCTGACAACAGAGGGAGAAAAATGTCACTATTTCTAGGGGCCTTCCCATCCTTTTTCTTAACCAGGAATTTATTCTTCATACTTGAGAATGAGCTTAATGAGCAGAGAAGAAAACTAGATCCAGTGCGCTCCGCCCTTCCAGAGAGTATATTTTACCCAAAGGAAAAGATGTATCTAGTCTGATTGGTAATGTTTCTGGTCTCTACCAGGAGGAATGGGACACACAATCCGCTCTCGCAGAAACGAGGAACATCTAGTCCTTTTCCTTAGGTGGCGCTGTGGAGAGGTCATGCACCTAAGCCAGTTTCATCATCAGGTGAGTTTGGTGACTTGGAAAACATCCTTGCAGTTTCAGAAGCTTGGGGTCCAGGGAGAAATGCAAATGAGTTGGGTAATAAAAGGCTAATTAAACTGGTAGAACCTCTTAATGTTAAAAAATAGTGAGAGTGAAATCTTGCTTTCTACATAAAAAATCACTTTCACTGTGGCCTAATTCCCTTGTAGGTTAAGTCTCCCCACGAGCAGATCAGGGGAGAAGGGAGATGTGGGCATTTCCTCTTTGCCTTGCCCTCTGGCTGCTCCTGGGGTTCTGCCAGCCCAGCTTCCTTCTGAGCGTCTGGACCTTTCTGGTCCCTGCCCTGCCTCTCCCAGGGCCCCCTAACCACCTTTCCTCTGTGGGTGGGAATGCTGCCCACTGTTGCCCGTCCTTCACAATTCCTTGCTGGTTCTGTCACTTCCCTCCCAGCACTATAAATAGTCCTTTAAAGTCTCTTAACATCCCATCTGGTCATGTCTTCTCTTTCTTGTGGGACCCTGATGCTACAAGGAGGAACACTGGATCTGGGAAGAGGCAGAAAGGGGAGAAATTAGGGGGACCTAGGGTGAGGTCAGGGGTGGGAACTCAGAGCTAGAAGACCAGATATGCATGCTGCTTCTGCTACTTATAGGAGTAACCGACCTTGTGAGACTCACAAGGTTCTCAGTTTCCTTAGCTGCAAATTCTGGATGACATGAATGGTGCTATATGACTCATTTGATTCTCAAATCAGTGAGTTTTAATTGAATTCCAACATGTTAAGTGCTACCACCATAGTGAACAGATAGGATGTCACCATGGACTCCCACAAGGTCACCTAGATGGGATGGTCAGGGAGGGCCTCCTGAAGAAGGTGGCATTTTCACATGATACTTATGTGACAAAGTTATGAAAGAGTCACATGATATGGAAAAAAAAAATCACTTAAACACTTTAACAATTTTGCCTCCTTCTCTTACCATTGACTTCCTAGATGATAACTCACAGTTCTCAAAAGGGGAGCTACTGGCATTTATCAGCATAAACCAGCTGGAAATGCTAATATTAAGACAGTGTTTCTGGTCTCAGTTTTATCTTATTGAAAAAACAAATGAGAAATATCCGAGGGGCACCTGGGTGGCTCAGTCGTTAAGCGTCTGCCTTCGGCTCAGGTCATGATCCCAGGGTCCTGGGATCGAGCCCCACATCGAGCTCCCTGCTCCACGAGCCTCCCTCTCCCACTCCCCCTGCTTGTGCTCGCTCGCTCTCTGTGTCTCTCTCTGTCAAATAATTAAAAAAAAAAAAAAAAAAGAAAGAAAGAAATACCCAAAAGAGGGCAGTACCAGAGAACACCTTTAATTCGCTCGCTTTGCTTGTGGGCTAGAAGTGAAGGCTTATAAGTTGTGGATTTGGAAGAGTCTGGCACACACAGCTTTTTACCCTAGAATCTTGAGTGTGAAAATTCACTCACGCAGCTACTACGCGTCAAACATCAGCTAAAACAGCTCAGCACCGCACAGGGGAGGCACGAAATGGGAATTGCCGTCCCTGCCTTTGCAAGCGGTCCACAGACTGCTTTGGGAACGGTGGCTGGTCAAGGAGACACAACAAGAAACACGAAAGAAGGGCACATGCAGCCTGTGCTTTCCAGGATCCAGGCAGGGCACCGACGGGGCCGAAAAGAGAGCTACAGACGTCCTGTCAACCATCGCAACTGCCCTCTGCCCCCATGTATTTTGAGGATTGGGTGAACCACCACTTGGGAGGACGCCCGGAACTTGAGGTACCCAGTAGATGTTACTTTTCTTCCTTCTATCTCTGCCCAATGGGTCCAGATTCTTTCTGGTGTGTTCTTGCTCACTGTCTGTGCTTTCTCCCCCAGGGCAGCCTGCAGCCCCTTGCTGTGCCAGGTTTGGAACATTATTCTCCTTCAAGGTCAACATTGCTTTCTTCATCTCTCTCTGAACCATTTCTAGCTAACTGGAAATTAAATTATGATTTTTTTTTTTTTTACTTCTACCATTTCTTTACAGACAATTCACAAATGATGCTATTTAATGCTTATCACAAAAATAACATACCTCAATCAGAACTGTTACAGATGAGGGCTTAATAAGGACTGTTTGATTATGGCAACAATGAGCAGGAGAAAAGAAAGGGAAATAATTAAGCATTTTCTCAACATTTATTTGAATTATGCCCTTTGGCACTGTTGATGAAAACAAAACAGAAATCAACTTTATGGCCTCAATTAAACACTTGCTAGCATAGACTGTTCACACCACTAAACAAGAGACTCTAAATGCTTCCTACACTTTCCCTCCAGATCATCCCCTAAAGACAAATGAGGTGAATAGGTGCCCTGGGGATTTGGGGAATTCTATAACTTAAAAGCAACAAATTTGCTAATGGCTATTGGTCTATCTTAAAAATCTTTTTACATTTTTGTTTCTATTCCTGTGTATATTCATGTTTGTTTTAATAGAAAATAATATTTTCTACCCATTTTTTCAGGGAATATTGACAAGCTGGGAAAAAAACCTCATATCTCCCTGGCAGTCTGAAGTATACTCTGAAATGACACTTCATACCATCCCTCTTCTCCTCCTTTCCCATGGTATGTGCACAATCCCCAGACTGAAGAACAGTTCCATCCCATAAAGAAGGAAATATATTGGATATTGAGACACTGAGAATATTTGCTTATTCTAACAAAATCGTAGGACTCCTCCCAATTCCAGAGACGTAAGTACCACAGGACAGGGAAGGCAAAGTCACACTAGCCATAAAAGGAAATCTTTCCTGATGTACCCTAAAAGCTGCGAACCAGTAAAGAGCTAGAAGGAACACAGATGCAGTGGAAAATGACAACCAAATCAGGACGCAGGGCCAGAGAGTCACATCACACCTAGAAGTAAAAACCAGAATGACAGCACCTTATCAATATCCTCCCTTTCCTGAGGAATGAAGAAGCACATTTTTCCCTTTCTGCTAGCTCCTGGTTTTCTGTGCTTACCAATGCGTACATACTCTTTACATAAAATATAAAGGAAATGGTTGCTTTAGGCAGTCAGCAGGGTCCCAAAGCATAACACTAATGCTTATTAATTGGCAAGAAATAATGGATACTTGATTTGAATTTATGTGATTTATTAGTTTGTTGGGATGTGGGAGAGAGGGAAGGGTATTGTCTGTTTAAATAATAAAACATTTTTTTTTTTAAGGCAGAAAAAACCCCCAAGTAAAACAGTTGCTTCAGGAGGAATGGGGCAGGCCAGAGGAAAGGCATCAACAACCATCAGGCCCGGGTAGACACCGAGGAGGTGCCCTCTTAACAAGGGGTTTCTAAGGGCAGGGAGGAAAAGGGGTGACAGATGGTAGCCAGGCCTGGACGCTGAAGGACAGACAGCAGGAATGGCTCGGGGGAAGCAGAACAGAGGTTGGTCCGAGCTCTCACAGCAGAGGACTGTGGGCCAGAAGATTTTCGTGGGCGTCTAATACTTGGATGTTTACCTGGCAGGCGGCAGAAGTGGAAACCAGACTAGAGGTGGTAGTGGCCCGGAGCTGCCTGCAAGGATCGTAATGAGGACTCACCACCTACAAGTTATGCTTGGAGACGCCAGGGACTCACTGCCCACATCTTTTCCATCGCCGTATTTGACTTTTACTCAATTCATTCTAATTACAGTTCAAACCGGACTATGTTTTAGTTTAATCTGCGTGCTCACCTAGCGGGTGCTTCTGAAGTTCTGGTGGAGAGTCCAGGGTCCCAGTAGCTTCATGGCCCCCCGCCCTTTTTAAAAGATTTTATTCATTTATTTGAGAGCGAGAGAGAGAGCAGGAGTGGGTGGAGGGAAGGAGAGGCAAGGTAGAGGAAGAGGGAGAAGACTCCCCGCTGAGCAGGGAGCCCAATGTGGGACTCGATCCCAGGACCCTGGGATCATGACCT